CACAAGGAAACTTTTATCGTCGAGAGAAAAATCGGAATATTGAGTAAGGAGTTAACACCAGGAACGAAAAAAAGGAGAAAGTTCTCGAGGACACGAGAGATAAGACGTCGAATGGAATTAGACGACAGCGAGGGAAAAAAAGAAAAGAAAAAAGAAAGGAATCCTCGAAGGCTAGATATTTTCGTTCCGTAAGAAACGTTGTCTCGTTGTCAGATAAGATCCGCGTGCCAGGCGGGAAACACGGATTCCAGCGGAAGAATAGAGAGCAGCACGGCTCCTCCACGAAGGATTCGCAAAGGCCGAACGAGGATCCTCGCTTTTAACCTCGAAGGAAACCCTTGACCTTCGGTGGATTGAAGAGAGCGGGCACGGTACACGCTTTTTACCTCGTCCGCCATTGTACGTGCCTCTTCCGGCCGAAGAAACAACTCTTCGTTTTGCATGCCGAAGGTTAAAGATTAAGAAGGTAAGAGAAATGGAGGAAAGAAGAGTGAGCGACATATTTGCGATACGTGCATCGTTTTGTCTCATTCTGACGACTTGTTCTCGCGTCTTGAACACGAAGAAAGACAATATCTCTTTTTATAAATGTATTCTTAATACGGTTGAATACGAGAGTACACGTTTTATTTTTACTTTAGGAATGAAGAGAACCTCAGAAAAGTAAATTTAACACGTTTCATCATTGTATCGAATAGAATATTATTTAAATATTTATCGAACGTGTTTTATACTTCTGGCGATTTTCTGTCATCCAAGAAGAAACCAAAGGATGCAAATAAAAATAATTGTAAACAACTCTCCCTTGATAAATGTCGCAAGAGAATCCACGTACGTATTGCAACAAGAATCGCTTCGTATCGAAATCCGTGGAAGGGAAATTTTCCAAAAAAATAAAGAATCTTGCGAAAACGATCGATTGAACAGCCCAAATCGAAGGAAATATTCGAGCGAGCGATTTCGAGGTTCACGGAGAAAGCACTCGAAGAGCGCAACGATTTCCTTTGTTTGCGCCACCCCTGAGGGACCGAGCTGGTGAAACTCGGCCCTTTTTTCGAAAACCTTTCCAACGGGGGACCATCTGCGTCGAATTTTCCGCCATCTCGAGCCCTTTCGACGCTCCCCGACGTTCCCTCGATCGTGTCACCGCGTCGTTTCCAGCCGACCTTTCCAATCAACGCATCGTGCGTGTAACCCCCGACCACTCTCTCTCTCTCTCTCTCTCTTCCTCTCTTCCCGTAACAGAGAACCGCGTGGCTTCACTCTGGCAAAATAATCGCGGCAAAAAGCCAGTTTCTGGCCGTGGACGGCGCGAGATGGAGCCGAGAGAAGAGAAGAGAAGAGAAGAGAAGAGTCGTGGTGGAATAAAAG